TCTAGGGAGGAGGTAGAAGGTGGAAAGGAATAGAGCTCGGGCATTTAATCATTAATTATTATTTGCTATGGCCGGGGCGCACAGCTCCGGACAGGCAGCTGTTTGTTGAGGGCTTGCCCAGTGCTTTGAGACCAGCCTGCACCCTCCCCTCCTGTCCCCAAGAGCAGTGCTGTTGTGACACTGCTCACAGTCACCCACGGTGGGCGTGGAAGCACTGGGCCTCTCCAAGCCTGTGTTTGATTTTCCCCTTCATTCGGCGTGTTTTACTCAGCACCAAGCACCTCTTCCACCCCAGCCTCCCTCCCCTGCCCCTTCCTCTCCCACTTGGGTCACATCAGAGGCCCCTCCCTGCCGCAGGGCCCTTTCAGGACTGCTCCCACCCCGTCCTGTCCTACCTTCATCTTGGGTCTCTCTGGATCCTTCATCCCACACCTCTCCAGCTTCCTTTTGGTGCTCTTCCCCACCTTCACCCCTCCCTTCACAGCCAGACCCCACCCCTGTGCCTCCCACGCTGGGGGCTGCTCCTAGCCCCATGGGCCTCTGCTTTGCCACAGGAGGCCCCTCCCCCTTCTCAGCTTAACCACACGCTCCTGGAAGCTTCTTTCTGCCCCCACCAGCCACCTCCTCCCCCAGCTTCCCTTGCTGCTCCGCGTTTTCCTGGCCCCCCTCGAGGGCACTCCTGTCCCTGCCTCATGGCTTTGAACTCCAAGATATTCTCACCTTTATGTTCAAAGTTCACAATTTTCTTTTCTTTTTTTTTTTTTGAGACGGAGACTGGTTTATGCTTTTTGTTTCCTAAGAAATTTTGCCTAACCCAAGACCACAAAGATGTTGTCACGTTTTCTTGTGGAAGTTGTGTAAATATAAGCCTACCAGCCATCCCAGTCAATATTTTACATCAGGTGTGATATACAGGTCAGTGTTCATGTTTGTGTTTACAGATTCTCAATTGTTTCGGTGTCATTTGTTGAAAAGACATTGAATTGGCGGGCACGGTGGATCATGCTTGTAAAACCAGAACTTTGGGAAGCCAAGGTGGGAGGATCTCTTTAGGCCAGGAGCTCAAGACCAGCCTGGCCAATATAGCGAAACCCCCGTCTCTACGAAAAATACGAAAAATTGGCCAGGTGTGGTGGCACACGCCTGTAATCCCAGCTACTACTTGGGAGACTGAAGCACGAGAATCACTTGAACCCAGGAGGTGGAGATTGTGGTGAGCTGAGATGGTACCACTGCACTCCAACCTAGGCAACAGAGTGAGACTCTATCTCAAAAAAAAAAAAAAAAAGAAAAACAGACATTGAATTGCCCTGACCTCTTTGTTGAAAACCAATTGGCTGTGCATATATGGGTCTGTTTCTGGATTCCCTCTTCTAAACCACTGATCTATGTGTGTCTTTCACTAATAATCACATGATATATTGATTTTTGAACCTTTATAATAAGTCTTGAAATCAGGTAGACTGATGTTCAGAACTTTGTTCTTTTCAAAATGGTTTCAGCTATTCCAGTTCCTTTGCATTTCCATAAAAGTTTTAGCATCAGCTTGTTGACTTCTAGGACGTTCCCCGATTCACCCCCTGAAAAAAGGCTGCCTAGGATTTTTATTGAGATTGCATTGATTACTTTGGAGGTAACTGACCTCTTAAGTCTTCCATTCCATTTATTTCTGTGTCTCCATTTATTTGTCTCTGATTTCTTTCATTAATATTTTATAGTTTTCAGCATATAAAGCTTCTTTTTTTTTTTTTTTTTTT